GGCTGGATGAACTGTTAACAGTTGAGTAGCTTTTGGAAGGTTTTATAAACACATTTTTTTAAAAAAATTGATTTTTCATACTTTGAGAAAAATGCCAAAAATTTTAAATTCATAGAATGTTCCTCTCTTAATATTTTTGTCATTTAAGACAAAATAAAAATTCTTTATTCTATCAAGAGAATTCACAATATAATACTCCTACAGTTCTACTATGACTTTGTTCTTTTGAGCTGCTCTGCTCTGTTCTGCTGTGTTCAACTGAAATCTGCTTTGCTCTGTCCTGCTGCGTTCAACTGAAATCTGCTTTGCTCTGTCCTGCTGTGTTCAACTGAAATCTGTTCTGCTCTGTCCTACTCTACTCTGCTTTGTAGTGTGTGGAAGCCTTGCCCTACTCTCCTCTACTCTGCTGAAATCTGCTCTATCCAGAAACTCAAAAAAACAGGGCTTATGTATAGGTTATGACTAAGGTTTTTCTATTGGTTATTTTCCATGACATTTCTCCATAATTGATGTGTGGTCACTGTAAATCATTTTTGAACATTTAGGTTTAAGCCATATCACATGAATCTTTAGCACTAAAAGTCATTGTCAAACGATTTTACTGTCATACGATCACCATAGAAAACTTAGTAACAGATACCATGAATAAAATAATAAATTATAAAATAATGTAAATAATAGGGTCATTAACACTTTTGAATACACACTACTCACTTCCTAAGCAATCACAAGTCATTTGCAACCATCAGTGGTGAACAACTAAACAATCCATCCTCCATTTCACCACCTCATACACTTTATTTATAACACTAATAAGTTATCCCAATAGGCCAATAGTGTCCTCAATTACTTTGAAAAGTCATTTTAAACAACTTTTTTTTTGCTTCTTAATCTCATTATTTATGCATGATATGGGTGATTGTAGAGTTAATGTTTATTATTGGAACACATATATCTCAACTTGATTTAATTATTTTCCTTGCAAACAAATATAAGAATTAAGCTAGCTAGTTTTTGGGTCCGGATGATGCACAAAGTCGAGTTATCATATAAACAGATTATATATATATTATATTCTTATAAATAAAATTATAATCGAATATCACTTTAATTTTATTATTTTTACTATACACACTAGAAAAGAGTCCAAAAATCTAACATACATTATTATATATCTATGTCCCATATGACGCTATTTGAAACACACAGAAACATATACTATATGGTACGTACTCTAACATCTATCTCTTTCCCTATCCTAGTCGTCTCTCCCTCTCAAAAGTGACTTAGCTACTAAACCATTGACCAACAATAGTTTTTTGATCATGTGTTACATGCAACTCAAGTATGAGTGTGTTGAAAAATAAACCATATATAAAATCCAACATATACTACTTGTACATGTTTGCTTCAAAGTTAAAAAAGTCATATTGTATTTGTTAAGTCATTACAAATTAATATTCTAATTAAAGAATAACAACTAGAGAAAATGAACTAGCATCTTCATGATTGCTTCATAATTCATATAAACCAAATTGGAAGGTATGACTTGTCTTTAAGCAAAGTGACATCTTTTAGTTTGAAGAATCTCTTAAACGTGAGGTTTTCAATTCCTATCAATTTTAGCCACGTTATTGGCATTTTCTAATATCTTCTTCTTTTCGTGCTCATTTTTATATTGTTCTATTCTATACAACTATACAAGTCTCGTCAAATAAAGAAAAAAGTCATAAGAATGAAAATAATGTACATTTACTAGTAACAAGATACGGTGGCACGTAGAAAAATTAAATAACGTTACTTAACATGATTAGATTGCTAATACTTTCCTTATTCTGGAAGTCCATTGACCTAATGTTGCCAAGGAGGGGTTTGATAAGTATACAAACTCTTAAATGGACCTGGTTCACACTAATTTATCATGAATCACCAATATTAAAGACACTATGGTTGTTTTATTAAAAAAAAAACACTATATTAAAATAAAGTTATTATGTTGAAATAAAAGTTATTGTGACATCATTATAAAGACTATAAGAGGTTATTTTTTTTTCTTAATGAAATTTTTATATACTAATCAATATGAATAATAAAGGTCACTATTTCAACATAACGTCATACTTCATGTTCACAATAATATTAAAGGTCACACAAGTTTTAATAAAGATTACTATGTTAAAAATAAGGTTACTATGTTAAAATTAGAGTCACTATGTTCAATATAACGTCAGTTGCGTTGCATATAAACCTTAGGTCTACAATAATTTCATTGTGGACCAGGTTTACGCAAGTTTTTTTCCTGATAAGTCAAAATGATAGCCGAATTACTGTAGATTGTAGTCACAAAATTCTCATTTAGTGTAGATATACATCAAAACATATTACTAAAAAACATACTTCGTATATAATAAGTTGATACTATATGTGTGATTACTTTTTTTGTCACAAATCGGAAGCGTAGCCATTTATTAAACCATCAAGCTTTCAAGAAGAACACCAACGACGGTGATCATTTTTTTCCTCATGAGAAAAATCATGAGGAAATTTGGTCTAAATGGGCATCACAATAATGAGCATTTTTCGTTTTTCTTCCCGAGGAAAACTGAATAATTTGTAAAGGAATAGTACCAAGTGGCCCCACCACCACTTGCTTAGTAGCATTTTTTTTTTTGCCTGCTGCACCTCTAAATGACGAGTTTTGGGGGGTGTTATTCTAGTCCGCACCTCAAAAGTCGATGATTTGGAGGTGCGGTAAGTAAAAAACAATAATAAATGGGCGTTGATCGAAGTCGTTCTCCTTTAATTTAATGTAGTCGTTAAAACTTAATGTAGTTGTAACGATATTTATCTTTGTAATGTTATTGAAATATTAAAAATAAATGAGTTTTTAATCAAACGGTTGATTTTTGGTGTAAATTTTCGTTATTGTAATTTGACTAATTGTTAAAGTCAAATAATTTATATCTAATTATCAAGTATAATTAGAAATTTTTTTGTTTTAGAATCGTAATTTGTAGTAGTATATTTTCAATAAAACATAAGATAATATGAAGTAAATAATTTTTTTTGTGTTCCACCCGCTTTACCCTTTGAACTAATCTAGATTCAGGAATCAATTCTGGGTGGTTAAGTTCCAATCCCCCTGCCAATTGTTGTTGCGGAATAAATATGAATATGGTCATTTGTAGGAGAAAGAAAATGTTGATAGGATATTAAAAAAAGTAAGAGAGAGAGTGTTGAGGAAGTTTTTTATTTATTTATTTTTTTTATTTTTTTTATCGTTGCTGATCATTGGTGATATGGTGATTTGTAGGAGAAAGAAAATTTCCACACCAAATCTCCTCATAAGGAAAATGAAGATTTTAGAGAGAGAAAATGGGTAGAGAGAGAATGAGGAAACCTTTTTTTTTATTATTATTATTATTTATCATTGTTGAAAGTGCTCTTACAAATAGCCTCTTGTAACTCTCTTGTAACTCAAGATCATTACAAATATTATTTTTATAGAGATAATATAGACTTAAAGCGTGATAAGAAAAATGGTTATTATAGGTTCTAAATGACTTAAACGATAATCCGTGAAACAGAAGAAGTACTATGTAAGTATGTATGTAATTTTACAATTTACATGGTAAAAATAATATTAGTGTTATTGATGTAACAAAAGCACACAACTTTATACAATAACAAAAGTACATAAAGATAGAAATACTAGGAACATACTGTAGCACTACTATACATTTGCATAATTGCATTAGACATTTTTTACAAGAGATTAGAGAAGGTAAACAGATAAATTGGATAATCAATGTTTCATTACTATAATTTGTTTGTGTATTTTCCTTTCCTACCTCTTTCATAAAATGCATGCCGAAGAACATGTCACGATTTTAGAATAAAAAAATAAAGAATTTTAGTAACATCAAGTCCAACTATTACCGGTTTACCACTAATCAAAGGAGGCATTAGATTATAGATAATTATCTGTTAAATTAGCATTAGTGTCACTTCTTTGCGTAGTTTGCAATGGCAATAGATTGAAATTAATTAATAAAATTATTAAAATACCTTTACCTTCGTTTGCTTTCGGTGATGGGCAAAATGAACATCTTATTATCAATCCCGATTTCCACCCCTAATTTAGTAATCTATGTTCCCTACAAATTAGTAAAATCATGACAATTTCAATTTCACCTCTTATTTTGTTTTCCACAAACCAAATATGGATGTATAATCTCGCCCTATTTTACACTAAACAAATACACCCATGATAATATAATCCCCTTGTAGAAAATAGAGCTGCAAAACCAAAATTATGGGTTAACTCGGATTTGAGTTCTGATGAAGTATATTTCCAACTGTCTTAGTATATTGAGTTAGTCGAGCGATATATTGTTTCAATTCGTATTGATTTTTATATAAGCTTAAAATTTTACTATGTTGGTATATAAAAAAAAAAGGACTTTAAAAACCAATACGTTGATATGAACACATTCTCAACATCAATTAGATCTTTAGATGAAACTCATGTGTATGTACTCTATACTTCTATAGTAGTCTCCTCCCTCCCTTTCCTCCTTTAATAGAGTATGAACTAATTATAAGTTTAGCACAAGTAATTACACAAGGACCCACCTTTAAATTGTTAACTTCCCATTTCCAATTTTCCACCAATTTATGGTGCACATCACCAAAGGTAAACAACACATGCGACGTATATGGTGCAGACACCTAAAAAATATCTATTGCCATAATACTCTCATATTTAGAGTAATTGTTGCACATATGGAGTTACACCGCTAATAGGTTCTTCCTAGATTGAATACACACCCTTCCTTTTCCTCCCCCACTCCCCGACATAGAGCCATAGCCGCACAACCATTGTTGGTCATGAGAGCATTTCCCACCACCAAAAACTCATCAGCAACAATTATGGCAGCAGTAGAGGATGCAGCTAAAGCCTTGCTGTTAACCAATAAATTTTGACAGGATACAGATGGTTCCTCAAGGACAGGATGCAGATCACAGCTCAGAGAGAGAATCAATAGATGAGTAATAATCAGCTACGAACAGTATAAGGCGGTACAAGTGAAAAAAAAAAAAAAAAAAAAGTGGAAAAGGGAGTGCAGGAACATTGCAGCATCAAAGACATCCACTCTTTCGCCCAACAAGAAAGCATCCATACCGTACAGGAAGGGCCACCGGCATTTTAGATATCTGTCGCGGGACACACATTATAGATACCCTGCTTGTAAAAGACTAGCATTGGATGCAATTAATGTAACACAGGAATCCAACGTAAAGTGCGGAACCTGATTGCCACTTGATGCACTTTCTGATCAAGGCCAGGTGATACTTTTAAAACTGTCGATAGATGCTCAAAAATGACAAAACCACAACTTAAGATGAGACAATGAGTCCAAATTCAAGTCCAAAACTAACATTGAAAGAAAGAAAAAGGTTACAGAAATCATTCCCTACTCTTAGTTTCAGGGTGTATGCTAAGCAAGAAAAGATTACATTTGCATTGTCAACTAATGCCATGGACCATAACCACAATGTTTGTAGAAATCATAGCATAGATCACGAGGAGCTCAAACTTCTAGCAACCTCTACATTTTGAAGCCTGATTAGCTAGTACCTGAACCATTTTCAAACCAGTTCTGTAAGATGTTATCAAAACAATTGGAAATACAAGCGATAGTAGGTTTGAAGCAGAGAAATTTATAAACAAGTATAAATAGTAAGCTTTTGACACCTTGTTTCAATCTCAGGTCAATTATCATTGTTTTCTTCACATCACTTTTTGTTTTCTAATCATGAAATTGCAATTAAGGTAAGGTCTTTGTCTCAGTCTTGCATACTCCATACTTATCTGCATGAATAACTTAACTATCTTTAAAAGGATCAATTAATACTTGCTTGTAATTGACCATAAATTATTGAAATAAAATATGCATTAAAGTAAGTTTCTCTTTGCTTAACCACTTTAAAATAGGGAAAGAGGTTTACAGAAGGTGGATATAAAGGGTGATATGATATGGGTATAGACCTCCAAGAGATTTGTACCATAGAAGATATTTGTAACTCTGAACTCTGACACTTATGGTCACCAATTGAAGATGCTCATCTATAACCTTTTTCTAATGCTGGACATATAAATTAGCATTCTCTACTAGATCTGGTTATTGGGTAAGTAAGGTCAGGGTCGGTGCCCCAATTGCAGGTTGGGTCACAACTCACAAATGCCTTGTGACAAGTCAAAGTGGGCAGGCCAATAAACGGGCAAGAAAAATGCGAAGAGAAGTGTGAGACAAAACTAAACACAAGTGAATATAAAACTACAAATTTTCCCCCACTACTCCCTCCGTTCCTGAAAGATGTACACATTCCATTTTGAGGTGTTTTAATTGATGTAACCATTTCTATTTCATTCTATTTTGGGTAAGCAAATTTTACTATCTTACCCCTTACCCCACAATATTTAAACCTTTCCATATACTTACTATATACTCATTTATCTTATAACCACCCTTTTTTTTTTTTACCCTCTTACATCATCCACCATTTCTTACACTCACTTAACTTTTCTAAAAACAAGAGTCGATAGCAAATGGATACATCAAAAGAAAACGGACGGAGCACCTTCTTTCCCAAAATTATTAGGCTATCATACCCAGATACACTAAACCCATTAACTCTGTCCATTCTGACTAACAAGGCAACATTCCTTCTCAGCTAAAAAATCCATTCTCAGCTCACAATGGAAAAATCAAAACTTGATCTAAATGATGAAAGAAAAAGTCACAGACATTGCTGAAAAAACCATTGAAATGAAAAATGATTAAAATGCGCACCTTCATTCTAAAATTATGACTATAGTCTGACTTCACAGAATCACAGATCATCATGATCGGTTAAATCAATACCCAGAAGTTTGGCCAGCTCTCCATTTTGATAGGCTTCAACAGTATCTGAAAGATGTACAGGTCATCATCCTAAGTCATTTTCACAATTTTGAGACGAGGACTGTCTTAAGTTTGTTACAAACGAAGCAACTCACCATCTGATCCACCAATGTGTTTTCCGTTGATGAAGACCTGGGGCACTGTACGTCTCCCAACAATATCTCTAAGTGCATCCTGAATGCTATAACCATCATCTGCAAAAACACAGGTATACACAAGTTAGAGGGAAAAAACAAATATGAAGAGGTCAGCCATATACCAACATAAAAAAAAAAAAAAAAAAAAAAAAAAAAAAAAAAAAAAACAATGATTTCACTTGCCAATTCAGAGATATTCTATAGCATATATAAATATAAGTTGCAACACATCCATCAATATTCATAGGACACATCATGTCAAAAAGAAAAAGAAATCATACATCAAGCAATTTTGCATCATAAGTAACATCCACAGCTCAAACTTCCATGCAGATCATTTCAGATGAGGCAGCTCAGCTGATTCCAGCCCTAAATATTGCCCTAGGAAAAAATAAGCAAAACCCCTCCCCCCTTCTCTACCCCCCACTGTGCCCTCTCACCCCGCCAAAAGAAACAAATAAATAACCTACGAATAGAGTATACAGCAAAGAATTGCATATAAGAAGGAAAAACAGTCATCCATCAAGAGGTTTAAGAGCTTATCAAGCACGAATTACATGAATACAAATGAAAAGACATTTTTCAAAGTGTTTTAATTACAAAGAGAAGAAAATTGAATATGATATAATAATATTGTATGCAATAGAAGATCAAGTGACTGAAGGAATAGTGCATTCTATTCTATTGACTCCCCTCCCCCAACCAGATTTACAAACAACTAAGAGCCCATGCATTGCAATGTAAAGCATTGATCTTCTTCATAAGACCGTCGGATTAGCAATTTGAAGGGACCACTAGATGGTTTTTAAGGTTACAAACCTAGGATGTGATACCAGAATTCCATTGCATATTTCCACCTTATCCCATGTTTTGCCTCTTTTATCAGGATAATAATGATTACAATTTAAAGTTTAGGTTTGAGATTTTTAGAGTAGACACATTGATATTTAAGTTTAAAAACCTAGGATGTGATACCAGTATTCCATTGCTCATATCTTCCAATTAGGAGGAATAAACATGAGAGCCCCCAGATTTCTCCTCCCTCGCATATTTCCACCTTATCCCATGTTTTGCCTCTTTCATCTATCCTTCCACATTTGTCTCCGTTCCTACAAAACTTCTTCCTAAAAGCCCTGATCAATTGCTATACAAAGCAACATAACCAAGTACATCTATCTAAACAAAAGTCCTGAAATTATTATTCAATCACTTCAAAAGGGCAAGAGGATAATCCTCTACTTCATGATGTTTCTCCACAGTGAACACAAATGGGGAAAATAAATAAATTATTATTATATACAAAATAAGTCTAAAAGTTCAAATATATATCAATCAATATGAATGTCCCAATAGGACTTTCAAATATACCTCTCTCATCCAACTCAATAACATGTGGTGCTTGGTCTAACTCTCTAAAAACCTCTTTCGCCCTCTTACAGTACCTGTAAAGAAGCAGATTCCACAACATTATCTTGAGGTATGAGAAATGTCAAAGGATATAAAATAAATTCTACAGTATACAAGAGAACAAGATACCGTGTCTTTCCTAAACTAGATTCATCTCTTCATGAATAATTACTTCCAAATTAAGATTTATGCACAAGAGAGTCAGTGTAGGCTTTTTTTTTTTTTTTTTTTATTTACTTCCAACTCTAGGCCAATAATTATACTTCGCAGTTAGGTTCTGTCCTAATTGAAGGCTATACTGCTTTTTATGCTTTCGAGAAATCATGCAGCCTGCCCTTAACTGCCACTTTAACAACATTGCTCTCTGCAGTCCCTCAATACAAAATTGGACTAGGTTTTCATGAGTTACACTGTTTGGATAGAGAGAAATGGAGGGAAAGGAAGAGAAGAGAAAGGGGCGGAATTGGCATCCCTTCTTTGGATATCACATGGAAGGAGGAAAGTGAAGGGAATTGGTAGGATCCATTTTCCTTCTCCTTTATTTAGGCTCCGTTTGTTTTGACAAAAAACATTTTTCGGGAAAATGATTTTCCATGGAAAAATAATTCTCATGGAAAAACACAATTGTAATACTAGCTTTCCTTTGTTTGTTTCCTTAAAAGAGAAAATTATCGAGGAAGAGAAAAATGAGAGTGAAAGGGAGAAGATGTTTGAGAGGAGATGAGAAGGGTGTTAGGCGTGGAGAGGAAAAAGTGACATACCTTTTTTGCAAAAGGTAAATGTCTTCCACTCTTGGGAGAACTATTTTCCACCTTTGGGAAAATTATCTTCCACCATTTTCTGACCAAACAATGGAAAATGAGAAAATTATTTTCATGGAAAATGTTTTCCATCAAAACAAACAGAGCCTTAATAAACAAAAATTTTCCAATACTGGAAAGGTTTGGAAAGACAATGGAAGCTCACACTCTCTCTGCCTTCCTTTTCCTTCCCCGTCTTTATACTTCCCTCCCTTACCTTTCCATCTATAATTGCTACCCAAACATAGTGTTAATGCCTTTGATGCAGATACGGAGAACTTAATTATCTTTTAGTTCATATCACAAGGCATGGCATGCAGTGATACAGAAAGATATGATGCTTATATGTACATCATCGAGATACAGAAACATAGGGAGAAATCAAAGGAAAAGAAACACATCAGACAGCATCAGTAAATCAGCAACAATTATAATAAACTAAATAGAAAGAAAGCAGTGACTATTTTCATGTGCTGCAAAATTTATAGAGCCTTTTGCACGTCTCTATGATATGCTACCAGAGAAGAGCTCATAACTCTAGCTGAAGAGCTGCACAATGCACCAACACTTAAATCGCCAGAAGCAAAACCCAGTACCCTAAGAAAAATTCGACTTCACAAATCGTTACACACAGACCTTAAGCTCTAGATGTTGGGCCTTGATTTCTTTCTGTCACTTTTGGTAATCACTTACGGCATTTAAAGGGCTCCAATAAAGGATATTATTTCATTGAAATGTGCTTGCTATTTAAGATCAAGTATGAAGAGAGCATTAAATAGCATTGATTGTATCCTGATTCCATCATTTGCTCATGTACAACAAATGGATCAAAGACGATACATCACTTAACTACTTTTCGCCTTGAATTTATAATGTTGATAGCTTAAACAATTATTGTTCTATCTGGTGACTAAACATCAGGAGTATAATTTAATTTGTCAATGATAAATAAAATTCAAAAACACACACACACACATATATATATATATAAACCATTTCCTCAACAAATTAAATAAACATCTTTCAAAACAAATACGAAAAATTACAAACTTCAACCCTAATCCCCCAATGTAGCTAAACTACTCCAAACAGAAATGCACTTCAATTTGATCCAATTAAACCCAAACCAATCATTCCAAAACTCTAATCATTTACAACAATACTAAATCCAGCTCAATCATTCAAAATCAAGCAACAAAAATCAAAATTCAAAAAGGTGAGAAAATTACGGGCAATAAGATTTGGAGAAGATGACAATTGTATGAGAAGAGATAGTTTTCTTGATGAAATCAGCCTGAGAAGACGAAGCAGAAGCCGGCGACGCCGCGAGGCAGACTGAAAGCAACAGAATGACGGCGATGCTACGGCGGCGCATGGTTTCTCTCTCCATTGTTGGCGGTGGTGTCGAGGTTAAACTTTTAGTTTCAGATGCTGATGATGTTATTGTTTGTAGTTTGTGATTTTGTATAAATGAAGATGTAATTATTTTAGTAATAACAATATTCCTATTTTGCTTGTAATTATTGGATTTTGTTACATATTTTTGGAGCGGAAAGTTTAGTTGAGGGTATTTTTTTACATGGAAAAGTATGATCTTTAGTACATTGGTGAGGACCATTATTCTCTAGCTATTGCAATAAGCCAATGAGTCGATGTTTATGGTTATGGGCGGTATCGTCATTATGACGTATAGACATATGGTAATACTTTAATTTAAATTGTAAATTCTGCCACGGACATTTCTGAATACATAATACTTTTCTTTTCTCCCACTTATTACATGACGTAATATTTCAATTAATGGATTCATATCATATTATTACTGGATACCCAGTATTTCAACCAATAAATTCATCCCACGTCGTTTCTTGCCATAATATTTCTCATATCTCCTCACTGAAATATTGATATAAGCATGTTTAATTGGACTATTTTTATTAATTGATCACACATGGATTAATTAAAGGATTCATATGGGATGATTTAAGTGAAATTAATTTATTAATTATTTCATGGGGTGGTTGTTATGAACTTTACTCACTCTTGTGAGTGAAGGATTAATTATATTTTATTAATAATATAGATGGTCAAGTTTAGGCTTTTGCGATTATTAAGTGAAGGATTGTAGTCGACTTATGATTATGACAAAGGCCTAATTTAAAGGAATTAAATTATGGGTCAACTTGCGGCGATTACTAAGAGTATAAGAAAATGAGTTACTTAGATTGATTAAATGAATTGTTTGAGAGTCGGCATTCATTTAAAATGGTTAATCACTTAAAGTGAAACATGGATGAGCAATATCATTTTTATCATGTGCTACTTCATCAAGAGTAGAGTTGAGGATGACTAACTTGTGGGAAAACTCAATAAGAATCTCTTTTGGTGTGAGAAAAAGGAGATAAAACGCAGATTATGATTAATCATTCTCAGAGTTGAAAGGTTGATGCAAAACTAGAGATCTAATTAATCAAATTAAACTAGACATTGAAGCACACTATAAAAGAGCTTTTATACACATTTCAAAAAAGAGATGATGGGGAAGGTTACAAAAGCTCCAAAAGGATTTCCCCCCCCCCCCCCCCCCCTCTTCCTTTTCAAGTATATATTATTAGTCACACAATTATGATCTTGCCACTCTTTCAGGATTTGGCAGTAGAGAAGGGAGTGGCTTGCAGATTAGGTACACTTCCTTTTGCGTTTAGATGATAGCCCTGAATCCCGACTGCTCTAAACTGAGCCCCAACTAACAAAAAATTCGATGTATTCGTCTGTTGCCTGAAAGCTTCCTCATTTGTGCCTAGGTTTGCAACTTGACAGCTGAATCAACAAAATCAACCGTGCTGTTCTGCTGAGTCCAGAGCTGAGAGTATCTACCAGCCTTTGACAGAAGAACCTCATGAGATCCCTGCTCAACAACCGCTCCATTTTCCAGAACCACAATCTAAAGGCAGAAATTTCAACAAGTAGTCAAGTTAGAAGCAACTTAATCATAACATGCAAACTAAATTCTAGTCTTTACACCAACCAGTTAGCAGGTTAATATAACTTAAAGTATCGTAATATCACATACTAACACTTCAACAGGAAGAAAAAGTGTACATTCCTTTCAATCAGTGTTTCTGTAGAGCCAGAGTTGATCATTGTCCATTTCAAGCATTATTGCATATTTCAAGAAGACATGCAGTGTACTACTTTCAAGACACAAGTAAAATTGTGAGTTTCGTACTAGATTTTCATATTGCGAATTTAAAGCTGAACTTCAAGACAATTTGACAACATCTATGACTTTGTTATATGGGGTCAAGGTTTCCGTCCTCAAATGTAGAGCTAAGCTTGGTAAGCTTGCGGCAGCCACACTACCCTTACTTTTCACATTGGAAAAGAAGCATGAAGAGATAATAGCAACAAAAACTAAAAAATTGGAAACAATAATTCCAGAGGCTGAGATTTCATTTTAGAAGCTGTAACTGACATTCATTTCAAATTTCTTTGGAAAATAACTTATGGATATGCATTCGAAGTTCAATTACACTCTTAAAATTAAATAGAAGGTTCATTATTAACTTTATAGTAATGATTTATCAACAGATTTCACAGACAATAATAGAATGAATAAAATCGTATTTATTCAAGTAAAGGATCATTTATATGCTGTATACAGGTTGTAAACACATCACTTATCAATAGAATTCAATTTGAAGTTCATCTGGTAATCTAGTATAGTTGGAACATTATTTGGAATGCTCATTGATGAACATCAAAGTAGAACCATGCTTTTTTCTCCCAGGGCCAGGGGCAAGAGGTACTTTTTCATAATGACACTAATAAAAGATCAAGATTTATTGACTAGCTACAAAACTTACCTCGTCACATTGCATAGCAGTTGTAAGTCGGTGAGCAATGAAAATGGAGGTGCGATTAGTTGCAAGTGACCTCAAAGCACTTAGAATTTCTGCCTCTGTGGTGCTGTCTAGTGCACTTGTAGCCTCATCACAGAGCCTATATAGATAAATCAATTAATAGTTGACGTAGTCTAAAAGCTATTCACTTAAACTTTCATAAAGTGAACCTTTATACATGAATCTGGTGATCATACAGATCAAAGACTCTTACACTAATAGCCTTCATACAGTTAATTAAAGGGGAGGCAAGAAAATACATAACTGGCTAACTGCGGATTACAAGCAATTCAATTAAAATGTACATAAACAATATTTCAAAATTTTAAGCACCCAGAACTGTAACAGTAATTAGAAGTTTGCAAGTAGGTACTGGCAAAGTGTGAAACTAATCCCTATCCATTGCACATTTTATCTTGTACTACTATGTGCACATTAAATAAAAAAACTTACAGAATGGGAGGAGATTTGAGAAATGCACGAGCCAATGCAACGCGCTGCTTTTCACCACCACTCAGCTGCAATCATGAACAAAGAAAGTAAAACATGAGCATATGTGATGATGAAATAAGTCACAGAAAGGAACAGTGTATTAGCAATGAATTTTTTTATTTTTTATTTTTGGTTAAAATCAGCAATGATATAACAATATGTTACAACAATGTTGGAAGCCACCTATGACCTTTCGTGGACCAACCTGAATTCTTCCAACATCGTTCTTGAACAAAGACCCAGACACTATATAAAATTCCTTTTTCCTGATTAATACTTATTTAATGATGCATCAATACACGATGGATAAAAATCAAAGGCCAGGGTTGGCTACCCCTTCTACCATCCACTCATTCTTCAACTGCAAAATCACCTAATTAACTCCATTCTTATAAAAATCCTGCACTGGATATCCTCTAACCCCTTCAAATCTGCCTGACTACTACCGGGTGTATCTGCTTGTATATATACATGTATCTTTATTTGACAAAGCCAAACCATAAATCAAATTTACTCATTATCTTGGGTTGACATCAAACTTGTCTCTCATGGTGCTGAAGATGTCATTGCCGTACCATCCTCCTTTCTACTACCGGTAACATCTAAAACATTGTGAAAAGCTAAGCAGAAATCACAGGCAGCAGTTGAGTGTTTGACTTTTGTGCGGTCCATGATGATTTGGCCACCATTGATGGTGGATAAGGTGAGGTTGTGAAAAGTGTAGCTGACATGGTCAGAGAATTTTGGGCCGAAAAGTTGCAGGAGAAACTAAAGTGTCAAGAACAGAGTTAACGAAGGAAACTTTAGGAATACACCAGGAATATTGTATATAGCTTGATTTCCTAATGGCCAGCTAAGACTTAATTGCAAAAATTAACCACATCAGAAGATAAAGGAGTAATGAGTTGCATGGAAATGGAAACGAGGAAATAGGGATAATGGGAAACCTAAAAACTTTCAGATGGTAGGAAACAAGGAAACGGAATTTAAATACATAAATAATAAAAAAAAATAGCATTATAATCAAAATAAAAACTGCTCAACCCATCCCATATTAGATTATTCAGGACATTTTCTATAGAAAAAATTATAATAAAATAAAGATATTAAAAAAAAAAATTACAGTAAAAAAGCTCCTATTATCAATTTCACTTTCAATCCTTTCTTTATTCTCTCAACCTCACTTCTTTCTATAGTGTCTTGTTCTCTTCGCCTGCTGCTCCATTTTTTTGCGCACATTGTTGTTCTCATCTCCTGCTCTTATCTTGTTCTATGGCCATAATTTCTTATCCCTCTGTTCTTTTATCATCTTAATTTTAGTTTGGGACAAAAGACAAGCACAGAAGCTGAAAATGCAGGTGGAAACGTGAACATGCTAACGAAATTGGGTTTCCCCTATGTTTTCTGATTATCTTACATACAAAACGTTTCACAAAATTGGAAACTGGATTTTGATACGCAATTTCCATTTCTCTTTTCAAAGGTAATTTGGAAACAGCTTGCCACAGAAATTTGACATTTCCATGCAATGTAAATGATAGGTTTGGCTGTAACTTGGTAAACAGCCAACTGAAGCACTAATAATATGAACAAATTTTAGACATATTAATACTTGAGGGTTTCATGATTTCACCCATATCCTTAGACTATCAAGTACGTAGTATCAATTAATCCACAAAATCAAAGGCAAGTGCAGCACTAATTGCGATAATTTCCCTCCAACTATAATACCTTAAGGCCTCCCTTCTACAATTATTGCTGCTTAAGTTTTTAACTTTTTCTTGTTTTACATCTCCCCTTCATTCTTTGCTTCTCAAAAAATGCATCAAAACAGGTCTCTTGGATGTAGGTTGTTGTAAGCTTGCAACACTATACGGTGTGGAAATCCATAATGAACATATACGACTTGGGAAAGCATCAGCAGGGAGCTTAGATTCTCATTTTGAATCAGATATTGTCTCAGCTAGTCAGCTGTAGGCCTGTAGCGTATTGGTCACCAAAAAACCAAAATTTGAATAAAATAAATAATCTGACCTTTAGGCCTCTTTCCCCTACAACAGTTGAATACTTCTCAGGGAAATTCATAATAGTATCATGAATTGCTGCTCGTCGTGCAGCCTCATACACCTGATACATATGTAAAATCAGATAACCAGTTTACATGTGTAAAATTAGCTAAGAAAGAGGTGACATTACAGACCTCCTCT